CCTGCTGAGTGGTGTCTCTCTCCCCTGAAGTGCAGAGTGGTGCCTGAGTCATCTTGGCTTCCCCGATCCCGGTTCAGGGTGGTCCTCGCAGAGCAGGGAGGAGAGAGGAGCAGGGGATGGGGCTCATTGCCTTCCTAGGTTGCACAGACTCGGGCTTCCTGCGAACCTGCACTCTGGCTGCATTTTAGGCCACTTGGGCGTGGGCCTGTGCCCTACTCCCACACCCTGGAGCCTGGGTCCAGAGGCTGGGACTACACAGCCACCTCCTGACTCCACCTTCTAGATCGATCCTTCCCAGGTCGATTCTTGTTTTTCTTTCCTGGAGTGTTGTAACCATTAAGTTCTAGGCAGGGGTCAGGGCCTGGGCTCGATCCGCTCAGGTTGCCTGCACAATTGAAATCCCTGAACCCATCCTGGCTAGTTTTCTCATTAAGACGATCAGACTGGATTGATCCATTAGATCGATGGCCAGATGTCAGCGGGTGGGAAGTCAATCAACTGAGCCTGAGTGATCAGCCCAAGGAGGAGGTCCCCTGCTGAGCTAGAGTGGGTGCCCTCTGAGATGGGGCTGGGGCTGGAGCGGCAGCGGGGTGGGTTGGAGGAGTGGCTGGAGGCAGTAGTCTTTGGGTGTGGCTACCTGGTCCCATGCTCCCTTGGGGAGCTAGCAGGGATTCCCAGGGGAGCCTGGTAGAGCCACATGGGCAAGAAGCAACATGTGCTTGCAAAGCATTGAGCCTCCTTCCAGGTGCTCAGACCATCGCCACCTCCTCCCCCCACCACCGTCACCACCACCATGGCCAAGGGTTGGATGCGCCCCTCCCGTAGGCTGCAGAGTATGTGACGGGAGATCTGGGGGCCGTGGAAACGAACAGGCTCTCTTCCCCGGGCTCTCTTCGCATTTCACCAGGAGTAACCTGGTGATATCCTAGTGTGGCTTTCACGAGTCCCAGGTACATAGGAAGGTGACAGGGTTCAAGGGATGGTTAAGGGAGCCACGTTCAAACAGACTCGGAAACAACGCCCAGGTGAATGTGTTTCGGCTGGTTCTCTTCCTGCAGGCCTGCATGGGCTGATAATGCACATCGTGACTCTCCACAAGAGGGATGGTCCCGGAAGCCTTTCCCCTGGCTCTAGGGCAGAAACAGCACAGTGAGGCACTTCCTGGAGGCACCAGCAGGTCCTACATTCAGGGGAAAGCTCAACCCAAGAGGAAGTGTTTTTGGTTTGAAGGGATTCCTGGAGCCAGGGAGGGGCAGACAGGCAGACATCAACGAGAGGGCACTGAGCCCCTCGCAGGCGTGAGGTCACTGCGAGGAGACCATGGCACAAGCAGCACCCCGCAGCCTGCAGTCACAACCTCGCCTCGTCCATCGCCCCACCCCCACCCCCAGCAGGAGCCTGGCCCTCCTGCACAGCTCACATCCTCACTAGCCCTTCTCCTTTCTCTTTTCTTCCATAGGCTACCTGACTGTCAACATTGAGCCTCTCCCCCCTGTGGTGGCTGGGGACGCCGTGACCTTGAAGTGCAACTTCAAGACGGATGGTCGCATGCGTGAGATCGTGTGGTACCGGGTAAGTGTCCACCGTTGCTCCGCCCAGGCCCACAGCCAAGGTCGACGGTAGAAGCCTCCAGACACCTTCACGAGCTCGACGAGGTTCACAGCTCTGAGCTGTCTGGGATCCTCAGTCAGGTTCCCGTCATCTGCTCATGCCCTTTGGGAAGAACCCTTTACCCAGCTTTCCCGTCCACCCTCAGGATCTATTTCGCCCAGCCTTCTCTGTGTCCCAAATACACCCTCGCTCTCAGGGAGCCCTGTGCTCCTTGTAACCCAAGTCATGTTCCCTGTCTCAGTACCCATTAGTACCAAAGTGCTAGTTACTGAGGTCGCGGTGAGCCCTGGTCATGGTGTAACAGCTGAGGATTGGCTGATGGCAGATTTCATGCATGAGGGTTTGGGTAATGTATCTGGCAGGGGAGAGAAGGAAAACAGGAAACGTCCCGCCTTCTTTAAAGCCACACTACATAGATAGCCTGCAGTCTAATCCAGCCACACACAGGACTAGCCCTGGTGCCTGAGAAGGAAGCAGAGAGGGGCTGTGCCCCCCCAGGTGGGGGCAACAGGAAGAACGGCACTGAGTCTTGGGCACAGGTGGCCTTCTCTAGCAGTGAAGGAGACCTTCTGCTGTTGAGATGAGGCATCTTGTCTCCCTGTGCCCCAGAGGAGTTGGGGCTGGGCTCAGGAGAAGAGCCAGCTGGCATGGGTGTTCTTTAATGCCGTGCTCAGGTGTGCATGGAGCGAGGTGGCGCCATCTATCTTCCCTCCTTTTACCTATAACAGGGCTTGGCACCGTTTTTGGGCAAAGGCCAAACTGTGCCTGTCGTGATGCTCAGCTCTCTGTTGTGAGGCGGAGACAGCCGCAGACAGTGCCTAGGCGAGAGGGCACGGCCGTGTTCCGTAAAACCGTGTGCTCACTGAAACTGGAATTCTGAGCATTCTCATGTGTCACAGAAGTCTGCTTCTTTTTACTTCTTCCAACCATTTAAAAAGGTAAAAATTATTCCTAGCACATGGGTTATATGAAAAACAGTTTGGAGGCTGATTTGGTTCATGGGCTGTAGTTTGCAAACCCCTGAGCTAAAAGCGTGCTCCTCTAATCTGTGTAAACTGCATCGCCCTTTCTTCCAATGAAACCAGTGGGTAACCCAGTCAAGTGGAGCCGCTCTGGGTACAGAGTGGAGGGGAGGGCACAAGGGTGGGCAGTGGGTGGACGGGGGCGGTGGCCACAGCCTGGTGATTGCCAGCCTTCAGCTGGTTCCTCTGCCCGAGCTGCCGCCACATCCACCGTGACGTAAGAGAAGCCCCGGGGGCACATGTGCCGCTCCTGGCCCTGGCTCAGAACTGCTCCCCCATCCCTTCCCTGCACATGGTCCGGCCTGTCCTCGCTGCTCCCTCTTACACTCTTGGTCTCTAATCCATTGTCTGTGGGTTGGTGCTATTTTATTGGCCATGATCCACTGTCCTTTAAACCCAAGCCATGGTTTTCCATCTCAGCACGGGAACCCCCCTGGCTTAGAATCAACTCGCACGCCCTCCACCCCAGCTCTCCAGGTAGCCTAGGCCCCACAGTGCGTGTGTGTGTGGGAAGGGGGCATCCCTGTTCCATCCTAAATAGTTCACTGGGCCTCAAGAACAGCAAGGCATACGTTAAATAGTGCCATGAACTGAATCGCTAAGAGGCACGCTTACAGGACGCAGGACGGCGTGGTTGACACGGGCTGTGAGCATCTCATCAGCACCCGGCAGAGGGACTGGGTAAACGGCCTCTGGATCACTGCCGATTTGGGAGCCACATCTCTCCCCCCACCATGCCCTGGATGGGACCAGGGGAGGGGCAGAGAAGGGCAGGTGGAAACACGGAGACCCAGTGGAAACGGTTCATGAGGATGAGGTGGAAAGGAGCTTGGGGGCGTATAAAGGCCAGCGGGCACCTCATTGCCTGCCCACAGGCTTGGTGCAGCTGCCCTCACTCTGGTTGGAAACCCAGTTGTCACTGCAGTCACTGTGGTGACAGTGCCCGTGCAGAGTTAGGCTGCACTAATTAATTTATTTTATTTCATTTCACATCCTTTGACTGAAGGCCTCTGGAGCAGGGATATGCAGATGTATGCAAATCACATGCAAATTACCCACTGGAGCCAAATGCCTGGGCCCTTTTAATTCTGTAGTTGGACTGAGGTGGTGGCTCAGCTGACAGGGTTACTCTCCTCGGGACAGGGGGCCCACGTGCCCTGCCTACTATGGTGAGGATGGGGACAGAGGGCGGAGGAAATTCCAGGGAAGCAGCTCCATGCTGCCAGCTTTCTCTTTGCCTACTGCCACTTGGCCTTCCCTCACCAAAGGCCTCTTTCCCAAGGAGCCAGCTGAAGGGCGAGAGATAAGCACCTATCACTACGCGGCTCCGGAGCCAAAGTGCGGCAGGGCTTCCAGGACAATGGCAGAAGCAGCAGCGGGGCTCAGCCTCCTCCAGCCGGACCCTCTCCTGCTGCCCTGTCCCTGACCAGACAAGGCCCCGAGGCTTCTTCCCCACCTGCCCCTCCCGAGCCTGCCCGCGGCTGAGCGCTGTTTGTTTTCTGTGCGTGTGTTCGCTTCCCTTCCCAGCCTCCTGCCCCATCCTCCGTGAATGAACTCACAGATCCCGGCTTGGAAGGAAATGAATAGATCACACAGGCCCAGCCAGGGCTGTGTCTCCAATCTCTTTAGAAGGGAAAAGTGAGGCATTGTGATGGGGCCGCCTGCTCAGCCCCACGGGCACAGAACGGCCACAAACGTGTGGAGCCCAGTGACCTCCCCTCTCGTCCTAACCACACGATCTTAGCAGGAGTTTATCCTGAGCGTGCGGAATGCAGTGAATGGCGGATGGTTTGGGTAAATTGAGGGACCTGATGACGTTGCTTGAAACGAAAGAGACCACCTCCTTGGGGGCACAAGACCTCTGGGTAAACATTTGAGAAGGTCTTGACTGTCGACCCCTTGAGGGAGGGACAGGAGGTTAGGAGGGGGTAGCCAGGGACTGAGCTCAACTGTGGACACTGGATTTCAAAGATACCTTGCACCAAATATCCCTGCAGTCTAGCCAACTGGGGAGGAGCTCTGCCGATTTGTAGACGAAGATGCCAAAGCTGTAGGAGTAAACTCAAGGAAGTGCATCTGACCAGACCCCTAGGTCTGTGCCATCCTGTATGGTCGCAACTAGTCCCCTGTGGCTGTTAAAATTTAAATGAAATCAAATCAAATTAATTAAAAATCGATTTCCTCAGTCAAACTAGCTACACTGGAACTGGTGGCTACCTCGATGGACAGAGCAGGTGTAGCACATCCCATCCTCACAGAGTCCTCGTCAACAGCCTGCTCTCAGCACTGGGACCTCCTCTGGCCTCTGGAATCTACTATGCTCGTTTGACAAGGGAAGAGCTGTGAGTGCTCACTGAGCCAGCTGTCTAGGCAAATTCACTCGACTGTGAATTGCAGTAAAATGGATTGTATTGGTTTTCCAACCTGCCCTTGTTGGAGTGTGTGTGTGTGGTGAGGGGAGGTAGGAAAGAGAGGTGGTCACCATTCTCAAAAGACTTCTTTGGGGGACCAGCAGTTAGCGTAATGGCTATGTCGCTGGACTCCCATATAGGCGACTGTGGTTCAAATCCCGGACCTGGTGGCTTAAACTCATGCCAGGCGCATGTGCGTGTGTGCCCAAGATCCCGAGAGGAGAATGGAGGAGAAGGGATTGCAGCATGGCCATCCCCCCAGGGGGTGATTTCTTGCTTTCTGTCTCTATGTCTCTCTCTGTCTCTCTGGCAAGCGCATGCACCCTATAGCAAAAATCTCTCCCCCCCAAAAAAAAGACTTCTTTGGAAACATACGGAAGGTGTCTAGAATGTCATCAGGTATTAGCACTGTAGGTGTCTACCAAAGCCCTCTGCAACTTAGAGATGCTTTGCCATACCTTTATCATCCTCTCTCTGCGTCTGCTCCATTACCACACGGGTTCGTCTCCCAGAGCTGAGTTTCCCAGGTGCTATCTTCACAGCTCATGCATACAACTCTTTTTAGAAATATGTGATAGGTCTCCAAAAAGTTTATAGAAAATGCAAATTGTGAAAAAGCTATGCATGGATGTTAAAGATATGTTGCACCAAATTAAACTCATACTTGGATTTTGTTTTTCCATGAACTTTTTGAACTCTCCTCATGCAATGGCTAATAGAGTTGAGGTGCTGTTTCACTCTTGGCCAGTAGGAGGCTACAACCTAACACAAATCTATCCTAGTATTAACGTCAGGACTTGGTTCCAGAAAATAAATAACAATAATATTTTACTTAATCACTTTTCTCCATTTACACCCGTGACTGTGGGCTTATTTAGTCATGCTCGGAATACTAATCTAATAGCCTATCACTAATGGGCCTTTACTGTGTGCTGAGCACTAAATCGAGTGCCCTACGTTCATTGTCACGTTTCATGTTTATGTTGTCACCACGCAGTAGGTGTTGTTGTTCATTTTATTTCTCAGATGAAGAAACTGAGGCCGCTCAAAGACACTGTCCCAGCTCCTACTGCCTTCTCTGACCTCTCCAGAAAGTTTTAAACATGCCCTCCTCCATGATTCCTCTTCGTAGGTTCCTACATGTGCTTGGCTCGTCCTTTCAAAACACCTGACACCAGACTGCAATCGTTTCAAGGGTGAAACCTGTATCTTTTCCCCACTGGGTTCTCAGCATCTAGCACAGCGTGACCTCAGTAAATATGGGTTAAATTAGCAAATGGTAGGTAGAGACAGAGCTGTCAGTACAGATGCACATGCACATTTTGACAGACCATGCCACGTGGCCCACTTGTTTCAGGTGGACACGTGGACGGTTGGTAGTGTCTGTCTGTTTGGGGCACACACAGGAAGTGGGTCTTCATATACTCCAAGGACTTTGTAGAGAAAAAGGGAACATTTCTTATTAGGAAACTCTGTCCAAACTCATTTAGTTGGAGGTGACCTGCCCAGCAAGCAAAGCCAAAGGTCT